TAGAGGGAGATACAATGAACAGAGCTCATTAGGAATAAGAAGTGGACTTTTTTTTTCCTTTTTGGTTTTTCTTTTTCGTTTTGGTTTTTCAAGACAGGGTTTCTCTATAATAACTCTGGCTATCCTGGAACTCACAGAGATCCGCCTGCTTCTGCCTCCCAAGTGCTGGATTAAAGGCAGCACCACCATAGCCCAGTTGAAGATGTGTACTCTTTAACCTTAGTAAAAGATGGCTGCCAGCCACGTGGCTGCCTACATTGTGATGAAGTCACCAGCCAAGATGGAGGAGAGCCACTTAGTTGCTGTTTAAAACATGGCTTTTTAAACAGTAGTTTACATGCACATATAGGCACAGTTGAATCTAAGTTACATATACATACACACAAAGAGTTAAACCTAGCTTACATTGAAAGACAAAAAAGTAAAGTTAAAGAAACCCCCCCACTTGAAATAAAGGACAGTCTGACCTGGAATTTGCTAACATCCCCTCACAAGGCCCTGAGATGGCAGGATACCAAGAATTCACACTGCCCCTCCTTTCCATGAGTCAGCAGGTGGTGAATAGGGTCCTTAAGAAACAGATAGCTGCCCAGACAAGATTAATTAGCACACCCTGAGGCCCTAAGGTCTGCTGACCCTAACAGTGAGACCATCCTGCTTCAAAGAGTCACTCAATGGACTCAAATGGACTGAGGGTCACACCTCCTCCCTAAACTTGTGGGTTTTGCCTATAAAAACACCTGTACTGGGGGGGGGGGGGATGGGGCTTCTCTCTAGCCTGCATGCTGAGGGAGCCTGTTGGAGCAAAACGTTTCCTGTTCATTAAAGCCTCTTTCGTGTTGCAGCAACTGGACTGGACATTGAGTTCTTGGGGGTACCGACAGAAACTGGGAGACTCCTCATTCTGAGGGTCTAACAACATTCACATATATAGAGTTAAATCCAAGTCACATATGCGTACACACACACACATTGAAAGACCCCCACTATGCTTATTGCCTGTTTGAATTGCTCTTGCTAATTTGCCAAGGTCAAGTTATGAGAAAAGTACAGGAGGGAACCAGGTGCTGCTCTCATCCAACGCCAACCAGATATCTGTGGTCTGCAGCTTGGACCAAAGCAAGGTCAGCAGGACGGTATTCGGGATGCTGAGAGAGTCATAACTGAATTCTTTGTATTCTTTGTGCCCAACCCGAATAACCAACTGTTCTTGGTTAACTACAACTGCTACATTTAGATGAAACAATGAAATCCCTGTAACCATGCTTCTGCTTCTGTAAGCCTGCTTCTTGCCACCCCAACCCTATATAAACTGCCTGAGTTTTAACCTCAGCACGCTCAGTCCCCGAAAGACTGAAGCGTCCACAGGTACCTGTGTAAACAATAAATAACCTCTTGCACTTGCATCCAGTGGTCTGGTCTCGTCTCTTGGGGGCAAGGGCCTTCCCCCCTGACAGGCTCCAAACTCTTGGGGTCTCTTGGGGATATATATGGGAAAACTGGTGGGTGCTGAGCCAGATGAAGCTGGCTTTGCCACCTCTGACTCCCATGTTGTAGCAGACCTAGACAGGACATTTATAGAGGGAGAACAGATAGACCGAAGCAGGTTTTGGAGCAAAGAAGAAGAAAGAAAGTGGAGAATGCTTTCTCAGTTCCCCAACTGGCTGATCCAAGGAATACTGAGGCCAGTCTCACATCCAGGGGAATGGTCAGAGATGGGTATCCCCAACAGAGACTCAACTGCCAGTATTGAATCAAAGCCATCGATGATCAAGAAAACAGATTTGTTGCAGGTGGAAGAGAGTAGAGATCTATTGTGGGTGGAGGAGGTGGGTAGGGTCCCTGCTTCATAGCTAGCAGTTGCTGAGCAGAACAGGGAGAAAGAACAGAGGAAGAGCTTGGAGCAAAGATAAGATAAAGCTTGAAAATAGTGCACCCACCCTCCCATCTATTGGCTCAATGGCTGAATGTTGCCAAGGTCCCATAAACTATTGGGCTATAGGGTGACAGGAAGTGACCATTTGGATTGATCTGTAAGGGTTATTTGGGCCATGTCTGACTGAGAAGGTGGATGAGTTTAGAAGCCCTTAAGAAGGGCACTAAGCATAAAACTTTGAGGTTTCCAAAAGGCATCTCAAAAGGGAGGTTAGGCTTATGCTGGTAGGTGCAGTCCGCATGAGTGAGGCAGAAAAAAACGAGATCCAAAGGCCTGGAAATTATTAGTGTCCCAATAAATTCAGGATGGGTCGATTGAGAAGGCACAGGCTGCTCTGTGATTCATCACACACAGAGCAGGAGCCAGGGATCTGAGCTGGAGAGACATGTGGGTTGTCAAGTACGGGCTGAGAGATGAGGCCTCACTCATGGGGAGTGGCATTGGGCCAGATCTGACATGTCTGAGGTTTTCTAAAAGGCATCCCAGGGGAGTGTCTGGAGGTATAGTGGAAGTTCATAAGAGTGAGGTAGAGAAATAAGATCCAAGGGTCTGAAATTTCTAGTGTCCCAGGAATTCAGGGAGGATTGAATTTGAAGAGGCACAGGCTGGGCAAAGGTCCAGTGGCCATGGAGTGCTGAGTCCAATGGTTGATTGATACCAGGGCTTATTCAAGAGGCAAGAAACCATGGCTAAGAAAGGAATCCTCACTCACGGGAAAATGGCCAGAGGTGGAGAACTCACCAATCATGTGGATGTTGAATGGAGGGGCCCAGCTACCGTTAGTTGCAGAAGCAAGGCTGTTGTCAGACTGCCTGGCCGGCAGGAGGAAGTGCCAGGAGGGCCTGCTGGGTTTTTATGATAAACAAAAGGGAGGGATGTTAACATTCAGGCATTATGCTGGCCTGCTCCTTGGGGACCTGGCAGAAAGGGCTTGCCAATACTCAGGCAGTACTCTGACCTGCTCAGTGTCCTGACATCATCCACCACATTGAAAGAGCACCTGTTCTATGATACCTCATAAAAGGCGACCTTGTCAGCCCCTTGCCTCTCCTGTCTCCAGAGGCTGGTCTCCAGCCCTTTCCCATTCCCTTCACCCAATGAAACTCTCCACTCAAGCCCTGTCCCATTTGCATCAGTCTCCCCTGCTGTTTTTCAAATTAAGACAGTTTCTACCCTTCAAGGAAGTTCCTTAAGGCAGGAAGTAGGCCAGATTTACTGGGTTCCTCCCTCCCCAAGAGTATACAAGCAGTAAAGACACAAACAGTCACTCCCAGACAAGCCCAGTTTCCAGCAGAAGCAGAGCCCAACAGAATCTCCTAGAAGAAAACAAAGCTGAGTGGCCTGGAAGAGGCACCAACTGGAAGGTCACTCTCCAACCTGTGGAGCCGCCTGCAGGCTGTGCAGTGTGCTCCAGATTCCCAGCTTTTGTGAACTGTCACCATGCTGGCTTGACCCTGCCACTTGGCAGAATGCATTCAGTCAGTACTCTGGTCAGCCCAGGTGCAAAGGACCCCTTTAAAAGAAAGATTCCCTAAACAGGGTGTTGGTGGCACATGCCTTTAATCCCAGCACTTGGGAGGCAGAGACAGGCAGATCTCTGTGAGTTAGAGGCCAGCCTGGTCTACAGAGCAAGTTCCAGGACAGGCTCCAAAACAATACAGAGAAACCCTGTCTCAAAAACAAACAAACAAACAAACAAACAAAAAACCACAAAAACAGACAAACACAAAAGAATGACCCCTCCACACCCAACCCCCTTTTCTCTGTTTTCCGATCCTCTCTCTCCTGTGTTTTTCCAACTGTTCCCCTGGGGCAGACAGGACTTTTCCTATCTCCCTCTTCTGTCCTTTCTCTGTCTCTGTCTCTCTTTACATCTTTTCTCTTTCCTCCCCCTTCCCTCCCCTTTCTAATAAAACTTCTCACTTAAGCTTTGTCTGCCTGACATGACTGCACCTCAGCCTCGGTCACCCTCCCGTGCCATGGAATCCACCAAGGTTCCTCACGCATTATTCATATCAATGATGCCTTTTGGTACTGCAGCTGTCTTTGAGTCATTTTTGCTCCTGTAGATAATTTCTTGCCCATATTCCTGTGAGTAATCCTAATAAAATTCACCAAGTTGGACTTTAGTCCTATCCATGTTTTGGTCTGTTGTGGTTCTCTAACTGGGGCGAGTAGACGCTTGTTCATGTCTTCCAGAGACAAGTCTGTCACAAAACAAGGCTCACTTTGGCCTCACAGGTCAGCAGGAGTGGGGATGATGGCCTTCATATCTATCTTACTTCTGTGTGGGAAGACCCCATCCCTACCCATCCTACTAATGGTCCAGGACACCCCCTCAAAACAAAACAAACAAAAAACCCTCAGTCACATGTGTGGGGTTGCACATGCCTTGGGAGACAGAGGCAGAGGCAGACAGATCTCTGTGAGTTCTGAAAGACAAAAAAGTAGAGTTAAAGAAACCCCCCACTTGAAATGAAGGACTAACCTGGAAACCAATATCTGTTCCTTGGAATTTGCTAACTTCCCCTCACAAGGCCCTGAGATAACAAGATACCAAGAATTCACACTACCCCTCCTTTCCTGTGAGTCAACAGGTGGTGAATTAGGGTTCTTAGGAAACAAAGAGATAACTGCAGCTCCCGTTTGCCCAGACAAAATTAATTAGCACACCCTGAGGCCCTAAGGTCTGTTGACCCTAATAGCAGACCATCCGGCCTCAAAGGGTCTCGTACTCAATGGACAGAGGGTCCCACCTCCTCCCTAAGCTAGTGGTTTTGCCTTTAAAAACACCTGTGCCCGGGGGGAGGGGCTTCTCTCTAGCCTGCATGCTGGAGGAGCCCGTTTGTGCAAACGTTTCCTGTTCATTAAAGCCTCTTTCGTGTTGCAGCACTGGACTGGACATTGAATTCTTGGGGGTACCAACCGAAATTGGGAGACTCCTCATTCTGAGGGTCTTACAGTTCAAGGCCAACTTGGTCTACAGAAAAAGTTCCAGGACAGCCAGGATGTCACAGAGAAACCCAAAACCAACCATCCAAACAAACAATAAAAGCAAACTCAGTTGCTAGTCTTTTCTTTGTACATTTATTGAATTTTCCAACTCCTGGGCCTGCCTCATTTCATTCTAGCCCTGTGGTTGAGTTAGGCTCTTGACTTTCCTAGAGGCTTTGTTAGGCAAGATCCTGCCCTGGCTGGAGGGTAGGACAGGAGGGTGTTGGGGGAAGGGAGGCATGCAGGCTAGCAAGGTTTCTGGCTTAGATTTGACAACAGGGCCAGGGAAGCATAGAGTGCACAAGTGGGGCCCTGAGATTTTGGTTCCCAATGCACCTGGGGGGTGTCCACCTGCAGTGTTAGGCCACATTCTTCTAGCAAGATCCAGGTGGGAGCCTTCTCATCCCAGCTGTTCTCAAGGAGCCTGGGAGGCAGGGGCACAAACTTCTGCTCCTGCCATGGGGTGCTCTGCTCCAAGATATGCTCCACCTACCAGCAGAGGAGGGAAAGGGGTTTCAGATGGCCAAACTGCAGTTTGAGCCCCAGGAATGCAGCACCTGCCCATGTAAATCTTTCTGGATGTACTCAGGACCCCACAGCATCCCCAATGCCAAGCCTTCTCACCAAGTCCAGCTGCTTTGACAGCACTGTTGCCTCCAGGGCCTTAGCCAGCAGCTGCTGCTGGGTTTCACTCAGCACTGGGGAGGGGGGAGAGATCTGGAATGCCCAAGATGGACTTGAGTCATTCCTTCCTGTCCCATACTAACCCGTCCTCAGGCTACTCACCAGTCAGTGCTCCCAACAGGTAGAAGATAGAGGCAGCGAGTTCTAGCACCAGCTCTCCAGAGGGAAGTACCAGATATTCAAGGATGCTGCCTGCTGGGCCATCCAGAGGTTCCACCCGTCCGCCATGGCACAGGCCCTGTTCCAGCTGAGGTAGAGGTGGGGTAAGTGAGGCTGGGCAGACTTGGGCAGGCCTTGCCCACTTCCAACACTCTGACTCACTGAGGCCTCCAAGGCTTCCATGCTGGGTTGGTCATATAAAATTATCCCGATGTCCATCAGTAGCTGCTGTCTTAACTCCATTCCTATGTGCTCCAGTTCTGTGGCGCCAGCCTTCACCTCTTCACGCAGGCCTTGGAAGTCTTCTCTGGTCACCTGTTCCTCATGGATTCCGTCTATAGGGACAGAGGGCAGCACCACCCGATGCTTATGAGGAACACAGGGTAGGGAGGTAGACCCAGGGAGCAGAGGCAGAACCCAGGTACTGACCTGTCAGGAGCTTGAGCCGTTCACCTGCGGATCGTAGTGTGGCAAGCAGGCTAAAGGCATGCTGCTTCTGGCCATCCTCTCTTCTGTGGCCTAGGCAAAGCATGAGTATGGTGTGAGGGGGAAGGGCTGTTCTGTGTAGGGACCCAGGGACCACTGATGCTGAGATTTTCCCTGGGCCCTCCCAGCTTCATCCCTCTCCTATTACTGGAACCCCAGGGGCAGATGAAAGGATAACAGGCCCAGCAACATCACCCACTGTGTATGTGTGTGTGGGGGGGGTGCCCACCTCCATTGGAGGCTGACCACCTTGTGCACTGAGCACAGAACATCTTATAGATAAGGGATATATGGGGCCAGAGGATCTGGGCCCTCACCTGACAGGGGTAGCTCAAAGGTCCGCTTCTTTTCATTGGGGAAGAGAAGGATATCTGGCAGCAGGAATAAGCAGACAGGTCATCAACTCCCTTATCCACAGGCTCCAGGGGCCTCATGAGAGACTGACCCTATCACCCACACATCAGTACCTGGCACATTTGACCATCTTGTCTGGGAGATAATGTAGCCAATGCCCATTGCATCCCTTGGCTAGCTAAAGCCCCCCATATTTCCTGCTTCTCTGTCACATAGTCTGGGCTCTAGAAACAGGCCCCTGCCACTCACCCCATTTAGGGTCAATGAGCAATTGGGCCACCCGGAATGCAAGGATGCTGCCTGCAGGAATGGTCACCATCTTCTTCTGGCTTAGGTAGCCCTTTCCTTCACCCTGAAGGAGGATATAGGCTCAAGCATATAGAGTGAATGATTCTGAGTGAGTGCTGGTGACAGGCCTGGGCTATAGCAGTTGTAGCTCACTGGGCAAATGAGGCTATGGGTTGCTTCTGGAAGGGTCTTTTTTTGTTTGTTTGTTGGTTTTATTTGTTTGTTTGTTTTCAAGACAGGGTTTCTCTGTGGCTTTGGAGGCTGGCCTGGAACTAGCTCTTGTAGACCAGTCTGGTCACGAACTCACAGGGATCTGCTTGCCTCTGCCTCCCGAGTGCTGGGATTAAAGATGTGCTCCACCACCGTCCGGCTCTGGAAGGGTCTTATAAGAGCTGCTGCTCCCTGGCCCCTTAGATTCTTGCCAATGCTATGTGTTCAAATGAGGTCAAGCAGGGGCTAGGGCTAGCCACATACCTGTAAGCATATGGCTCCAGGCAGTGCAAATTGGCCTAAGCCCTCTTTGCTGTGGGTCTGGGTGACCTGCACATCCTTCTCTGTCTGTAGCACCTCTGTCACCACAAACACATCATCTCCACGACTCCGAAGCTGTTGCAGGATTTTGTGTTCAGGCGTCTGTAGTTGCCTACAGAAAGATTGCCAGGGCTTGCCCATGATGGACTAGCTTCCTTTCCTACCACCGTGATGTCAGGTGGGATGAAAAGGCTAGGAAATCCAGGAGTCTGTGGATACCAGACTTGGGTACTTTCCCAGGATGTTCCCAACAGTGTCTAGGAGGTTGGAGGAATATGACAAATTCAAACAGGGAGAGGCTCCATTCTATACTAATCATAAATGTTCCAAGTCCACTTCATTCTTTTCCCAAAGCAGCTGGGAGTTTGGCCTGATTCCAAGGGTCTTGGCCCTGCCTGGATATCATGATCCTCAGGATACAGGCCCAGCAACTGAAGCTTACTGGCCCAAGTGACATCCTTCCCAACCTGCCAGTTGATAGCACTCCCTTCCTCTGGGACTTCTCTTCAGTATCTCAGAGATACTGCTTCAGAACCCTCCTGATGCCCAGTACCTAACAACTTCCCAAGAGCATGGCTGCTCAAGGTCAGAGGGCCCTCATCCCTTCAAAGGGCTCACCTCTCATGCTGCATGACATCCCAGGTGTTCTGAGCCACACGCAGTATACACATGTTTATGGAGGCACTGCAACTGCCAGACACTGCAGCTGCACCAGAAATCTTCCCCTGTCCTGTGCCTGCCAGCGCCACATGGCCCTGAATGTTCCCATCAACGGCATCAGAAACGCAGAAGCGGCCACAGCATTCAGGTTCTGAAGCAAGATGGGCTCTAAGATTTGGTTACATTAGCCACCCACTGCCTTGCCTTTCCTCTGCAGCAGTGGGACCTTTAAAGAACTGTCTCCTCTAGAAACAGGGCCAGAGGAGCAGAGCTGGTATAGTCCAGTAAGAAGGAAGGTTGGGCTTAGCCTACTCCCTTCTATTCAGTCTTTGAGCTCAGGATGGGGAAGAAGGGAGCAGGAAGGCAGATACCTGGTTCTGGAGCATTGGGTTCCAGGATGTCCTTGATTGTCAGGTTGACACACCTATAACGGGGTTTCCAGAACCACGAACTTGAGAGTTTCCTGCTCAGGAGGCAGTAGGGCTTGAAGCTGGTAGAGTTCCGAAGGCTGTCCACTGGGATTAGCTCTCCTCTTCGGTCCACCTCTTTGATCACATTCTTGACCACCTCTTCAAAGGCTGACGGCATGATCCTGAGGGCAGATAGATTGGTCCATACTTAGTTGACTCCAGCACTTTGGGAATGCCATCCCTTCAAAGTGGCCTTGCCTTGCTAGTCCTGACACATTCTGGCTGACCACTACACCAACAGAGACACAGTCTTCACTTTGTGGCTCACTTGTCTGTCTCTCCCTGAAGCCATGGGCACTGGAGACAGGGGGAAGCTTACAGCAGATCCTGTACACCATCAATTCCTGTGTGTAGCCATTGGCCAACTGCTAAAGTCTAGGACACCTTGTTGCACTCCTTGGCTGAGGACCAAGGCTGGAGGGAACACAATGTGGTGATATATTATTTATGATTTATTAAAGCCTGACTGAGGACTCAGAAAGCAAAGCCAGCCACAAGCTATAGAACCCAGGCACACACCTTTAATCCCAGAAGCGAGAAGCTAGGAGGTGCTACTGGTACACACTTTTAATCCTAGCACTCAGGATTAAGAGGTAGTCATATCTCTCTGAGTCCAAGGCCACCCAGATCTACACAAGTCTAAAAGAGAATTATAGCTCACACCTTTAATCCCAGTACTAGAGGTGTATAAAAGACAGGAGGAAGTATTCAGTAGAGGCATTCCTTCTCCAGCCACACTGAGGGGAGGCAGCAGTTTGAGACTTGGTGAAGAGCTAGAGGTGAGAGCTAGTGGCTGGCTTCCCTGATCTGAATACCTGTCTCTGGGTCTTTTATTAATTCGTGTTACAACACAAGCCCCCACTTCTGGGATACTTGGCACAGGAGCCCAAAGCAAAGCCAGTGTTCCAGGTTTGAGTGGTTTCCTTCAGAGCTCTCTCTTGTGCACAACTCCATGAGCGAGCTGTCCTGGATGAACCTTCATGGGTCAGAGGCCAAAACAAGCCAGGGACAGAAAGACAACCTGTGCATTGTGAAGGAGCAGTTCTATCCCTAGGAAACTGGGTTCTTTGGGGCCTGTTGATGGTGGAGAGTGAGCCAGGAAGGCACTTGGGAGTCAGGGAGGAACTTGCGGACCAAGAGATCAGCATGAAGTCCAGAAGCCTGGAAAGTTTCCATCAGCATCAAGCCCAAACCGCCCCACTGTAGGTTAGTGGGCTGCCTTCATAGAGGCTAGGCCCTAGACACTAGGCTTCCTAAAGCTGTCTGGAATAGCCTGGCTTCTGGGTAGGGAGGCATCCTCCACCCAACAAACTGGCATCCAGGCCATAAAGCAGACCAAGTCAGAGAAGGGGCAGCTAGACTCCAGGAGGGTTGAGTAGCAGGGTAGCTCACCTCAATCTTCAGATTTTCACCTCTCCTGAGCTGTCTGGACCCACAAAGCGAATTGAGGACGCGCTGGGGGCCAGGGAGGGGTCTCTCGTCAGTCCAGCCCAGGAGCCACGGAAGCTCACTGCTAGGAGGTGCCAGGATACAAAAGTGAAACTGTGAAGCTGCAGCTCTGGACTGACGCAAGGAGCCCTCCCTCTTTCCCTCCCGGAACAGTGGAGCAACTGAGCAGGCTGCCCCAGACGACTCCTCCTCTCGGGAGCCCACCCGGGCTTCAGGAAGCGCCTATGTTCTCAGTAACTGGGAGCTTCAGGTTCTTCTGGTCCTGGTACCTAAAACTGCACAGCATTTTTTCTTTTTTAAACATCTGGGCTGTAGTAAAAGATCTGAATGGATTTCTGTAGAGATACATAACTGTACAAATTGCCCAATAAGCACTTAATTGGTTATCAGAAAATGCAAATCAGAACTAGATAGCATCAAGGCCACTAGGCTCTTATTCATTCATCCTAAGTAACTAGTAGTAAGAATGTGGAGAAACAAACTGGTGTCCTTGCAGGTGAATACTGCAAATGGCCTGGTGCTGCTTAGAATACATTGGCAGTTTCTCAAACAGGGGTATACTTAGTTTACAGGTGGCATTTGCCACCATGCCCATACACTTGTGAAAACAGTAGAGTACAGAATCACGGACTTTTAAATGGCTGGAGGAAAGGGTATATGAATTGCTGCTAACAACCAACTGTTAACTCCAGTTCCAGAGGTTCCATCGAGTTTTTCTGGCATTCACCAGCACTGCACACAAAGGGTACACAGACACACATGAAGGCATCTTGCTTTGCCAGTGAATTTGTAGTAGTGGCCACACCCTTTGGGCATGCATTCAGGTGCAGACATGACCTATTAAGGTAGAGGAGGGGCTGGCTCACACTCTCTAGAGTTTGAGAGCATCAGAAGAGCAGAGACTGCATCTTCTGGAGCATGAAGGCCATTGCGGTTCTTCCCTAATAAATACCTATTTATCATTTATCTTGAGTCTGGTGAATTTATTTAAACCCCTGCCTTCAGAAGGCAAAACATCTATATATAAAATAAAAATAAAGAAATATTTTTATAAATCTGGAGTTTAGTACAACACTCAATCTAGCTACAGGCTCCTTGGGGCTCTAGTGTGGGCACTTGCTGGTGTGTATTTCTTATTCACATTTTCAGTTCTTTTCTTTTTTCTTTTTTTATTTATTTTTGGAGACAGGGTCTCTCCATTTCTGTGTTGTTTTGGCAGTCCTGGAACTCCTTCTGTAGACTAGGCTGGCCTCAAACTCACAGAGATCTGCCTGCCTCTGCCTCCCGAGCGCTGGGATTTTTAAAAGTGTGTGCCACCACTACCTGTCTCACATTTTCAACTCTTTAATAATAACCCAAACCAAAAGTTCTGGGCTTGTTGCTTGTTGGTTCCAGACAGCTGGTCTGAGAGGGTAGGATGTGAATAAGATAGAAAGAAGGCATTTGTATACGTGCAGGGCCAGTCCCATCCCCTCTCCAGCCCCCATTCAGAGGGGGCCTCTAGTTCCTCTTGAGGGTTAAGGAGTCTGGAACACATTGCTGCAACTTCCAGACACTCTGTGTGACAGGCTTCCTCCTTCTGATTAGGTTATGGGGTTTGGGAGGCGATGGGGGTGACCAAGGCTACCCTAGGCAAGATCTGGAGTTTAGAACCAGACAGACAGGTCTTGGGGTGAACTGTGACCAGGACCTAGGAGCCTTGGATGAGGTGAGCCCTTGTAGGGCTGTGCAAAGAAAGGATTCTTACTGCACAGCCACAGCCTGCCAGGATTGGCACTGGGCCAAGAATAGTGGCACTGGACCAATAACAGCAGTAAACCTCAGGGACCAAGGACCCTGGCTATAGAGCAGGGAACACAGGAAGGACAAGGACAAAAGGGACAGACACAGGACTAGACTAGAGGCAAGCCTCGGGGTGGGGGATGGGGAGCATGGTCAAGGTACTGAGACCTGAGGTCCTAGGATGAGGGAGGAGGTGAGGAGGGGCTTCTATCTTGTTCCTTGGTTTAGCTGCCAGTTAGGGCGCCCCCCCACCCCTACACCCCCTCCCCTCCCCGCCCCGAGCTCTTCAGCTTTTAGCAGGCAGCACTGTGTGATGGTGGCAAAGCTGAGCAGACAGCAGCAATGGGAACAATGGGATAGGCCCTTTGGGTTCTGATGCTTCAGAGGGGTCAGACCCAGGTGTTGGAAGGAAAGAGTTCAGGAAAAGTTGAAGCTGCTGCCCCCTGGAGACAGGAAGTGGAGACGGATGAAGGGAGTCCCTGCTCCCTCATGTAACTCAGGTGCCCATTCCTGGCAAATCCTTCTCATCTTATTTCCTTTTGCGAGGATCAGGCCCCAGTACCAATGGGATGGTTGAAAGGACATAGTGTCTTGTGCCCCCCACCCCCACACCCCAGGATTTCTCCTCGGTCTTTCTACCACACACTGCTTTGGGAGTAGGGCTTGTTTTTCAGCAACTAATAGTCCCTGAGGCCTGGCACTCAGCAGGGGGAAGACAGTACAATCTTCGAAACACAGTGCAATTTGGGAAAAGGTTTTCAGACAACTCTTAGTCCAGCTATAGATGTACAGTAAGATTAATCTGTGACTACATAGAAGCAGCTCCTTTACAGAGTACATGGGACCATGAGGGTGGGTTTCATAGCTTAAAGGTCTAGAATCTAGTGTGGTCTCTGACCCAGAGCATAGAGGGCAGCAGGCCATAAAGTACCTGTGACATCTCTCCTAAGGATGGGTAATGGTCTTGGAAGGGAAGAGTCTGGGGTAATCATTCTGGGGAATTTGGGTGAGATATGCCTCCACAGCAAAGAGTAGGCAAGGTCTGTCTCTACCTTTAGAGAGTGAAAAGTCACCAGGTCATTAACAAAATGCACTCCCAGTCTTCTGGGTGCAAAAACAGGTAGTTTATCTCCTCCATTGAGAAGAGGCCCTGTGTGCTTAACATTCTTGATTTCCATAGTGATCTATGGGCACAAAGAACCCAGTATCAATGTCTATCTTGTATCAGCAGTCACTTTCTTGTGGGTCCTGCACATCCAGTTTATATTGCATAAAGTTAAACAGTCCGGACAAGAGCAGTATCTTGCCCAAATGGCTAGTGTTGCCATATTGAAAAACTCCATAATGAGTTTCTTTGATGTCCATCTTCCTTTTTGATGCAGGTGGTGTTGCCAGGAGCAGTTATGTCTCACTGTCAAGAAAAACCCTAAACTATTTTAAATGCCATATTCTATAGGTCTTTGAAAGGTTTGAAGAATGCCTATCCAATTGAAATATATCTCTGTATATCTAGAAAATCTAACCAACCTAACTATAAGCTTTGACTATCACAGGTAACAATCTACAATCTGTACTTAATTATACATTACATTTTTAAATGAGCTATATAAACACAATACTTAAACAAGAGGAGAAATATGAGCCGGGCGTTGGTGGTGCACACCTTTAATCCCAGCACTCGGGAGGTAGAGGCAGGTGGATCTCTGTAAATTTGAAATCAGCCTTGTCTACAGATCGAGTTAAGGGCTACACAGAGCAACCCTATCTTAAAAACCCATCCAACTAACAACCAACAAACAACATCCAAAGACTTGCCCCTAATTCTGTGAGTTAGTAATCTGGGCAGGACTCAGCAGAGATGGTTCATCTCTGTTTCCTGAGACATTGCTCAAGTTCTGTGCTCAGAAGGCAAGCAGTGGCTTCATATGTATGGCAGATGGTCACCTGTTAGTAAGGTCAGTGGCATTAAACAGGTGTCAGTCAGCTGGGGCTGCTCTAGGGACTCAGACTTAAGTATTTCTCACAGTCCAAGGCTGAAATTCAAGAACAGATGCTGTGCCTACTAGTCTGTCTCTAAAGGAAGAGAACTGATCTAGAAGGCTTGTGGGATTCCTGGAAAGCTGCTGGTCTTCTGTCTACTTTGGAGGCCCAAAGAAATTAATTTTAGTATCAGTGAAGGATGCTGCAGGAACAGGAGAGATGTGAGCTTATGAGGGAGAGTGAGGAAAAGAAGGCAAACAGCCATTTCTTTCTCCCACTTCCTTTCATCTGGGCTGCCAGCAGAAGGTACCACCTAAACTTATGGTAAATCTATTTGCTCAAAGAATCTTATCAACAACCCTGGAAGCAGTGCTCAGATACTTGTGCTTTAGTTGATTCTCAATGCAGTCAAGTTGCCAACGAAGATTAGCCATCACAGGTGCTTCACAGGGCTCTTGCTGGTTTATAAAGAGCAGTCTTCTTGCAATATTTTCACATGGTGGTAAATGAGCTAGCTCTCTGGTCTCTTCTCTTAGGCCAACCATTCATCATCAGAATTTTACCCTGATGATCTATTCACCCACCAAAGATTCTGCTTCTTAACACATCACAAAGGACCAAGATTTCAGCATATGAATTTGGAGGGACAGATACTGAGTATGTGCTGTTTATTTTCCAGTATGCCAGCCCTAACTTCTTCACAAGATAGAAGTTGTAGATTGTGAGAAGACCAGGCTAGGCCAATGCACACGTGCTTCTTAAGACTGCAAGTAGCCAGGCGGGTGATAGCACCCGCCTTTAGTCCCAGAACTCTGGAGGCATAAGCAGATGGATCTCTGAGTTTGAGGCCAGCCTGGTCTACAGAGCAAGTTCCAGAACAGCAAGGGCTAGATAGAGAAACCCTATCTCAAGGAAAAACAACAACAGCAGCAACAACAAAAAAAAAAAAAATAGTGCCTGTAGAGGTCTGGAGAAACAGCTCAGAGGTTGAGAGTACTTGTTGCTCATTCAGAGGACCCATGTTCGATTCCTAGCATCCACACGGCAGCTCCTAAACACGTGGCTAGAGGTCCAGAGGATCCAGTGCCCTTTCAGCTTCCTTAGGAATTGTACAGATGTGGTGCATAGACACACATGCAGGCAAAACACTCATACACATAAAAAAAAAAAATCTTAAAGAAAGGCTGCAAAAAGAGATTCCATTTCACACATTTTGGAGTATTACTCCCCTCCCCTAAGCTTTGTCAATGCCTAAGTCTCTTAAGTGTTGAGGTGTGG